GAGGGAGGGAGCGACTGCTGGAGTTGGTCTCTCTCTCTCTCTGTGTGTGTGTGTGTGTGTGTGTGTGTGTGTGGTTGCAGGAGGGGTGGGGGGAAAAGGAGCGAGGGAGGCTCCGGCTCATTCATTTGCAGCCTCCGCAGCAGAAGCCGACAGCACGGAACCGGCAAAAGACGGCCGGAACCCGCGCTCCGCCGGCCAAGGTCCACCGGGCGGCATCGCTGGTCTCCGAGAGAGGTGAGGAAGGAGGATCCTTCGTGCGTTCGCCTTGATCTCTTACCTCCCCCCAGCCCCGTCCTTGCTTCGGCTTGGCTTCGCCCGGGATCGAGAGATCTTCCCTCCACCCCCCCCCCACTCGGCCCCCCCCAAGCAGCCGGGAGAGCGGGCAACGGGGATGGGAGAAGATCCGGGGTGGAGAGAAGTGAGGTGGGAGAATGGGGGCGGGCGAGGAAAAGAGCAGAAGAGGGATCTCTGTGCCGGGAAGGAAGCAAGCAAGGAAACACGGAAGGCGAAGGGAGGGAGGGAGGGAGGGAGGGAGGGGGCGTGAAAGCCGCTCTCTGGCTCAAGACTGTGTTTATGCAGAATAGGAGAAATAAGGATTGGGAAGGTTCAGGAGAAAATGCTAACGATCATCATCGGAGCGGAGTTCAGAATGAGCATTGGAATGAGAGCTCTTCCCACCCACCACCCACCCCAATTCCCCCATTCTGGCTTGAAGCCTTGGGAGAAGGAGAATCTCTCCTCTAAACATTTAAAAATATGTATGATCTTTCTTAGAATAAGGGACGGCCTGTTTCTGGCGGAGGTTTTCTCAAGGGCAAAAAGGTGGTGTGGCTAAATAGAAGTGAAAGGGGAGAAAGCTTTGAGGAGCAAAGACATGTGGTCGGCCTGGAGAGGAGAGATCGGAGGGGGCCCCTTGGGCCAAAGGCACCCCTCGACCCCCCAACAAGGGTTGGCAGGAAGGAGAGGAAATGGGGAAGGTGGAAAAGGCTTATAGGAGAAGGCGGAGGACTGGGAAAGGCAAGAAAGAAGCACAGCAGGGTAGAATCTGAAATACTGTAGGGGGAAAAAAAAAGACAACAACAGAAAGTGCTTTGATTCATTGACTAAACAGCAGCTCAGCCCACGGAGGGTGTAGAAGTAGTAATCACCTGCAGAGGTCAGTTTTGGTGAATCAGACACTGTTGTGTTGATCGGCTCCTAACTGGAATCCCCAGAATGCAACCCAACTGGTGCTGGTCTAGTGGCAGTGAAGGAAAGGTGGCTTGCCCTGTCGGTGGGCGTGGGAAAGGGTCGGCGTGGGAAAGGGTCGGCCCACACTTGCTGTGTGGCAGCTTGTTTATGGATCCACTCAGCTGGTGTCCTCCAGAGAGCAGCCTGGTCATGTGAACTGACTGAGACTCTTGCTACTGACAGATCTGTCCACTGATTCATTGTGAAAACTGTTCACGGTGGTGGTGGTGGGGGGGGGAGAGAACTAACAACAATTTTGTTCCAAATGAAGTGAGACATTCGCTCATGCTTCCTAGCGAGCTTCTCTGAGTAGCTTCTTGCTACTCTTTTGGGAAGGGTGGGGAAAGACAGGGCTAGGAGAAGTTGCTCAGCAGAATTGGCTTAGACATAGGTTGGCCCAAGATGTTATGGTGCCTGAAACAGAGAGCAGATGATGCTCTTCATCCAGGTCAAGGTATGTGTGGTATCAAATGTTATCCTGGTTCTCATAATTTGCTGCTGTTTCACAATATCAAAATCTGCTATCTAGGTTGGCTGTGGTACCCAATGTAGTGTAATGGATAGAGTAATAGACTAGGACTCCATGGATCTGGATTCAAATCTAAGCTTGGCCGAGGAAATTCACTGGGGCTGTGGCACTGGTAGAATCACTTCTTAAATATATCACATACTTTGATCGCCCTGTTAGCGTTGCTATAAGTCAGTTCCAGTTCTAGCTGGCCAGGACATAAGGTGGGTATCCCACCTTGCTTTGGGGTGGTAGCAGCTCCGCAGGTACCTAAACAGAAAAGGGAAGCTGCAGAGATAAGACATGTGCTTTGAAATTTCTCTGAGATGGGTTCACAGGATCCAGAAGTAGGAACACGTTGCTTCATGGATTCCTTAAACATTTGAATAACTCAAGGCAATAGAGGGTCTTATGCAATATTGGCAGGTGGAGTGAGGTTAGGATGAGTTATGACTCCGCTTTGCAGTTGAATTTTCAATTATACCAAATCTGGCCTTGGAATATATGAGGTAGGAACAATAATTTGTGGTTTCCCAGAAAGGTTTTCCTCACAGATATTGAGGACTCTGGCTCTGAGGCGCTCAGCGGTCTTTTGTAAAGTTTCTGCCCCTGAATTTAGTCCTCATTCACTGCTTGATCGGTTTGCTTATACTACAGAAATGCTGCCTTTGTATTCTTGCTTGCCTCACTGGGGTGAAAGCAGAGACAGCTTTTGACCAGAATAAAGGGTTCATCTCCCAAATGTTGGGATTAGTAGCCCATACATTTCACATGCTGCCTTGGGGGCAAAGTTCTCTTTTTCCCCTGCTTGACCAATTTTCATGTGTTTCAAGGAAGCCCTTCCTTCTTTTCCCAAGAACCTCCAAGTCAGGAGGGCACAGAAAGCCTTGTTAAGAAAGTCATTGGTCCCATGTGGTGTTTTTGTTAATGTCTTGGATCTTATCTCATTGAGGGCGGGACCCTTAGAAGAATGGTGCACAGAGGCTGCTAGACTTTAGGGCATCCGACAAAGAACTAGTTTTCAGTTTCACCTCTTTTTAGCGAATGCAGTTTAACCCTGAACCAGACTTAAGCAGAACCTAGGAAATCATTACTATAACTCCCATACCCCCTCCCCCACCAGGATTCTACAAGGGGAATCCAGGAGAAACATAGAGGAAAAGAGAGGAACTTCCCTAAATTCTGAGCTTAAGCTGCTTGGTTTGTTTAACCAAACTGTTCTCTATTGCCCCCCCCCATCTTTAAGAGGGTTGAAAAAGTTAATAGCCTACTGATGTGTGGCAAATCAAGAGGAAAGATTTGAAAGGTAGGAAGGACAGAAGGCAGTTTTTGTACCTCGTACAGACATCACTGGAGACCTAGACAATTATTATCTAGCTCAGTAGTTCTTCACTGGTGATGTGCGTGCCTCTGATGAGATGCAGAGACCGTCTAAATGGGCCATAGGGTTTCATAACTATTATTAAAATTTCTTCCCCCTCAATAGCCATTATCCTTCTGGAAATCATAGCAATAACACTTATCACCAGTAGTATTTTAAAAAAATTATCTCCATGTTTTAACGCTATTGTAACAGCAGCTGTCATACTCAACAATTTTTTACCGATTGTAAAAGCTTTACCAAATGCTAATGGAATTGTGATGTTTGTTGTTTGTGTTAACTCTCAATGAATTAGTATGATGGGATCCAGTTTGTGTGTGTGTGTGTGTGTTTTACTGGTAAGATATATGATGCAAAATGCAGAGAAGTATTGATCTAGTTTAGGAAGCGGGACTTTGCTGCTGAAATAAAAATATCATTTATCATGGTGTTACTTCAATTTTTATCCTACTATTTCTCCAGTAGCACAAGGTGGCGTAGATGGTTGTCTTCCTCCCTCTCAGCTTTATCTCAAAATAACCCTGTGAGATAAATGAAACCGAGATAGAAAGAAACATCCTGATCAGGTGTTAGTGTGTCTGCATTATGTTACAGATGCTGAATTAAATTTCTTTGGAGGATGGGAAGACGACGACTAGGGAATTTATTAACTTGTATACTGTAAGACGTCAGTGAGAATTGTGTAATGGATTGACATGCATAGTTTTGCCAAGGAGTCATGCCTTGGGTAGGGGCCAGCTTGGTTGATTGACAATTGTTTTAATTCTTTTAAAGCATTCCTGCCACTCTTGGATCTTCATGAGGAAGCAGTTTGGTAGCCAAGAAGGAAGCCATCTCGGTTGAAAGCCAACCTCAGCCATGCCCTGGAATGTCAAGTGGTTGAACAGCTACAGCAGCCATGGCTCTCAGTCCCAGAAACAATGCCGGAAGTCCTCCTTTGCCTTCTATCAAGCTGTGAGGGACCAGCTGCCTGTCTGGCTCTTGGAGGACATGAGGCGCATGGAGGCTTTCCACTGGCAGGAAGGGGGCAAAGTCAGCACCTACTCCCCTTCTGAGGCCCTCCTCTATGCCCTGGTCCACAACCATCAGCCTTACGCCCATTATCTCCTCAGCAAATTTCCAAACCACGCTTTGGAGATCCCCAGCCTCCACTTCAGCTGCTGCCACTCGTCGGCGCCTCACCTGGCCATGGCTGTGCGCTACAACCGTGTCCATATCCTTCTAGAGATTCTGAAGGCCATCAAGGACTTCCCGGCCAGCGATCGAGCCAGCTATTTAGACCGTCGAGGGTGCAGCCGGGTGGAGGGGGGAAAGACGTCCCTCCACATGGCCTGCGAACTGGCCAGGCCCGAGTGTTTGCTCTTGTTACTAGGCCATGGAGCCTCGCCTTGTCTTCGCGACTGTGCTGGAAACACACCTTTAGACCTCCTGCTGCAGCAGATCTGGGAGGCCCCAACCTCGAATCTGCGCACCAAGCTCCTCCTCCTGGACTCTCTGTTTCTCTTTATGCCTCAGGACTTCCCATTTGCCATGAAGCAACAACTGCTGGTTGACCACCAGCAGTGGCAGGAACTTCTGGGGAAAAACAGGTACCAGCGGCTGGCAGGTTTAGCGCCTTCTTCCCTCTTCGTTCAGGCTATGCAGGTCTTAATCAGGACCATTTCACCAGATCGGTTTCCAGAGGCGCTGGATGACCTGCCTTTGCCACACTTTCTGAAACCTTTGGACCTCAAACTGAAGAATTAAGAACACAGAACTAGAGATGCCTTCCTTTCTCTCCACCCGGCCGTTCTTACTTGTGTGGTGGAAATAGCTTTTTGGTTCTTGTATGGAGAACTGCCGTGTTTAATATAAAAACTGTGTGGGAGACAGGGAAGCCCTTGCTCTAATTAGAATCTTGTTTTTTAAAAGCCTGTTAATGTCTTTGTGCTTCATTTAAATGTTCTCAAAACAAAGTGGAACACCTACAGCGCATTTTAAAGAAAAGGGTGTTCTCAAAGATCCTGTACATCTCTTAAACAACAAAATGTCTTGAGGCATCTGGAAGACTAAAACATTTTATTTGGCATGGACTACAGCAGAATGAAAGGGGATGCCAAATAAAACTCGTTAGTCACTTAAGGTGCCCTCAGACTCTGTCAGTTTTGCGGCAACAGACTACAAACTAATACAACTTCCTCTCTGGAAACTGGTCATATCTTAGAGATTAAGCTTGTAGAATTGTGTAGTGACAAACACAATTAAACCAGGAAACTATGGTTGGTACAGCAGATGTAGGTGGAACTTGAGGTTGCTGATCCATCCAGTGGACTCTGGGACAACCCCCTCTCAACTCCATACCAGTTACACTTTTGAGAATTTTGAGTCTAGGGTTTTGTTTTGTGTACCACAACAGTAGTGAATTCATAATCCTTCCACATACCTATTCCTAACTACTGGGAAGAACTATTCTGCAGCTGCTATTGTTAGACAGTCAAGAGTCAGAAATGCTTCCCATTCTACATCAGATCATGTAGAGATCTAGCTTTCTCTCCCAACTCATTACATTACAGAAAATGGTAGTTGTTAGAGTGCATTTAGCATTCATTCTTGTTGTGAAAGCTAGGCTCTCTTCCAGGTCTTTTTAAGTGCAAAGAAGGGTATCCCACAAAATGTTGCTGTGGTGTTTACCCCAGGGGCCCTGCTTGTTTCCCCATATACAGAGCTCACCCGAGTATCTCAACATGCCGTTTAACTCGCTGCCACCAGTTGATCTCTTTACCAACCTATATTTCCTGTGAAAGCCTGAGGTCCATTCGGTACTGAACTTTTAAACAGAAACAGGTTTGTTCATTACATGTTTTTTAGGAATAGTTCTTAAGCACATTCTTAAAGTTACACAAAGCTTCAGTATTTTACTTTAACCTCTTCTATCTTAATTAATGCAGGTCACACTCTGACTAATCACTCCTTAAACACTCTCCTGTCTCAAACCCCAAACTCTTTCTCCTCTTCTCTGCCTCTCTGACTGAACTCTTTAGACGAGACTGACGCACCCCTCCCTTCTGGTTTATCTGGCTCCACCCCCGAACAACTCCCATTGGTGCAGGCCAATACCATTGTATATATAGGAAGACAGGGTGTTCACTACAGTTGCCAACTGTACTGTGATTTCCTGGAGAGTTAACAAGAATAATTAGCAACAAACAGTTATGCAGTTCTTTTTATTCGCATTCTTGACACCACTTCGCCCCCAATAACACCATCCTTCATCTCCAAGTACAGTGGTGCCCCGCTAGACGCTTACCCCGATATACGACGAAATCGCTTCACGATGAGTATTTTGCAATCGCTATTGCGACCATAAAACAGTGTTTAGATAGGGGAAATCCGCTTGACGATCAGTTCCCTGCTTTGGGAACTGTAAAACAATGTTTAAATGGGGAAAATCTGCTTGACGATCGGTTCCCTGCTTTGGGAACCAATTTTTTGCTTTACGACAATCAAAACAACTGATTGTCGGGTTTCAAAATGGCCGCCCGCTGTTTCAAAATGGCTCCCCACTGTGTTTCCTCGCTTTAGAGGCACTGGAAAATGGCCGCCCTATGGAGGATCTTCACTTTACGATGAGGTATTTAGCCCACTGGAACGCATTAAGCGGTTTTCAATGCATTTCAATGGGCTTTTTACTTTCGCTTGACGACGATTCATTCTACAGCGATTTTGCTGGAACGGATTATCGTCATAAAGTGGGGCACCACTGTAAAACAGTGTGAATATGTTTTTAACATATGGGGCTGGATCTAGACTTGGTTATACATGGATTGAAATCAGTGGAATTTAAGTCAGCCATAACTGATTGACACTTCACATGTTTCAGACAAAAAACTCAGATCATTGACAGAAATTGGGAACATTAAATACTAAAACAGTGTGAATATGTTTTTTAACATATGGTGCTGGATCTAGACTTGGTTATACATTGATTGAAATCAGTTGAATTTAAGTCAGCCATAACTAATTGACACCTCACATGTTTCAGACAAAAAACACAAATCATTGACAGAAATTGGGAACATTAAATAAAGGGACTGAAAAAAGAAAGGATTTTAATCTCATTATGTAATTTTTGCAAAAAAAAAAAAGCCGTCGCTATAAACAAGGAATCTACTTCTTTCTTTCTTTCTTTCTTGAATAATTATTTCATTTTCTACCTTCATTTTATTTCCACAAGGAACTTGGTGTGGCTAACAAATAAACAATATATTAAAATACAGAGAGCAACTTATTCAGTGCAATGTCACAATATTAACACACTAGGCTAATAAAATTAAACATTTCTGGGAAACTGTCAACACTAAGGAAATGTGAAAAATAAACCAGGAAACGTTCAGCCTATACCCATAGCCAGTCCGTTTGTTTGATTGGTTGATTTTGTATTCTGCCCCATTACTGCAAGCACTACTCTGAGCAGTTTACAAGTTAACATTGTTGTCTAAAACAACTGAATAGCAAGGGTTGCTGAGCCTCCAGGCATGCTGTAAGGTAGGTACGATAAAGGGGGAAAACCCTGTGCAAAGTTGTTGCTTATTTTCACAAGGGGATCTTTTGTGATACATTTTGAAGTGCAACTGCAGCCCCAACAGCCACGACCTGAAAGAAAGAAAAATTACAAGTTACTGTGCACTGTTCAAAAACCACCACAGTTCTGACAGTTTTCACTTACATGAGGAGCATGTCTTTTGAAAAGCAAATGGTTCCTAATCATCCATTCGAGATCAAGGTACTTCCTGCAATGTGACAGTGATATTGTACAACAATAAGTTATTGCTGGAAAATCCACCCCTCCATCAGTCTTCTGTGTTCAGCTGAAGGTTGCACCTAAGCTTGGAAGAATCTATTAGAATACATTATAACTGTTTTGTAAACTGCTTTGAGTCCCAATTCTGGGAGAAAGGTGGCATATAAGTACAATAAATGAATAACATCTCAGAGGAGTGGCACAGTCCCCCAAAAGTTAACAATACTTGTGGCTAATTGAAATCCAGTGGAGTAGGGAGAAGTCTGGAAAAAACCACCATCTTTCTAAATGTGTGTGTATGTAGCTGCTAAGTCCTCTGTTGTATAGTCAACGATAGCACAAACTAGCATTTAAGCATGATTCAGTGTCCTAACATTTTCCTGGACATCTGGATGGAAGGAATCCCTTCAACTGGGAGAAAGGTGGCATAGAAATGTCAAACAAGCAAACAAACAAATGTGTGCAACCATAACAGTTGAATGAAACTGATCTGCAGATTTAATGTCTGTTGGCATGTACAATTTTCTACCTTCATTAATTTTATTTTTAAAATTTCTATCCCATCCAATAGGCTGGTAAATGTATTAAAACTAAAGGAAAACTATTTCATAACAATAGCTATTCTATATAACCAACCAAAACTATTAAAAAGATTGAAACTCGAAGAAGGCATTTGCAACTCCATTGCCATTTAATGGTTTCAGGTTTTTTTTTTTTAATCAAAGCTTGTAAAACTTTGAAATTCAGCTTTTGTACTCTGTTTTAAGCTTTATTGTGGTTTTAGTTATGCATAATAATCATTAGTTCTAAATAGTATTATCTTGTTTTTAATACATGTACAGTACTAGCCTTTGATAGCGCCACTCCTGCATTTTCAGTATTGGAGGACTTTGTTTTTGCATCAGAAGTGTTTCCATTCTTGTGTATGCAGTTCCTCATCAGGCAGCGATAATCAGGTTTCACTTAAATATAGATGTACTGGACATGTCTTGAAGATCACGATTGGGGCAGGTGTAAAGGTGTTTCAGTGTGTGTCTGTATGTGTGTAAAATAAAGAATTTGGCCAATGCTCATCTTTAGACATGTAAGACACTGTTGATAGTAATTGCAGCTGGCTGGATAGCTCAGGGGCACAATCCCAGGGCGCACTGAGAAGAAGCCCAAAGCCAGAGGTTGGGATTTCGGTTCCTCACTCTGCCTCCTGTGAGTAGAGCCCACCTATGTAGTCACCGGCACAATCCCAGGGCGCACTGAGAAGAAGGAAATGGTAAACTACTTCTGAGTATTCTTTACCTCGAGAACGATGAAAAGAGTTGCCATAAGTCTGAATTGACTTGAAGCCACATGACGATTATTATTCTAAATAAATAAATAAAGTGCCAGAAGACTTCCTTTGACAGGCTCCACTTCACCGTCATATTGTTGTTGAGAGACCTAACCCTCCATTACTTCCCCTCCCTCCCAAAAAGAATTCCTCTCAGGCCCCAACTGCCTATGCAGGGAAATGCAGTGGTAAAATGGATTTCGTACTTTGGTATGATCAGGGAATAACCATTTTAAAATGTTTAAATTTTATTTTATTTTGTAAACTAGTGCACGAAGGAGAATTGTTCTAGTGTAATGGTTTCCAGACTTATGGGCATCACAGCCCCCTTTTTGATTTTTGAGAAATATCCATGTCTCTCTTACTAATATCCAACATGGTTTTTAACACCAACAACAAAAAGGTAGAAAGAAAGAAAAGAAGAAAAAAGGAAACTATGGATATTGTATTTTGAAAAATTCATTATTTGAAATTCAAAATAAACACAAAATCTTACTCAAAGCATTTGAAATGAATCTCACGGTATGAAATCTGGAGAATGCATTGTTTCCTGCTTTTAGGCAGGGTCCACTACCACACCACCAATACAGGGATTATTCAAAGAACTACATGTCAGTTCTGACATTCATTTCTAGTAGATGTAAAGATTCGCAATGGCTTCAGCACTGAATGGCAGGAAGGACTCCCTCACCCTAAAAACTTTGGGGAGAGCCCCAGGTCTGGTCACAAGTTGCCTGTGTCTGTGCTACCGTCCATTGCATCTTGTCGCAATTCCACAAATTAACTCGTAATGCAAGCCATCACTTGGG